CAATGAGTCAGCTCTTCACATCAGGTGGTCAGAGTACTGGAGCTTCAGCTTCAGCATCAGTCCTTCCAATGAATACTCATGGTGATTTCTTTTAGGATTGATAGGTTTGATTTCCTTGCAGTTCAAGGGACTCTCAAGAGTCCTCCCCAGCACAATAATTTGAAAGCATTAATTCTTTGGCATTCAGCCTTCCTTAGAGTCCAACTCTCACATTTGTACATGAGTACTAGTAAAATCATAACTTTGACTTAGATGGACCTTTGTTAGCAAGGTGATGCCTTTGCTTTTTAATACACTGTCTAGGTTTGTCATAGCTTTTCTTTCAAGAAGCAAGTGTCTCTTAATTTCATGGCTGCAGTCAACATCCACAGAGATTTTGGAGCCCAAGAAAATCAAATCTGTCACTGTTCCCATGTTTCCCCCTTCTATTTGCCATGAAGTGATGGGAACAGATGCCATGATCTTAGTTTTTTGAATGTTGAGTTTTAAGTCAGCTTTTCCACACAACTCTTTCATCCTCAATAAGAGGCTCTTTGGTTCCTCTTTGCTTTCTGCCATTACAGTATTATTATCTGCATATGTGAGGTTGTTGATGTTTCTCCTGGCAATCTGGATTCCAACTTGTGATTCATCCAACCTGGCATTTTGCATGATGATCAACTATATTCCAATAAAAAAATTTTTTTAAAGTTACAGTTATTAAAAAAGGGAAAGACTAAGAGCTATAATTAAACGTGGCATTTCCTATTTCTTTTGGCTATCACTAGGTTCCAAGTCCTGTTGAAGGTCTGTTAAACATTCCAGTTCCGAAATGGCTTCATCTGATAAGATCTTCACCACTGCACTTTGGATTGGAATGAATAGCAGAATGGTAACACTCTGGTCAGTTTTCACAATACTGAAATGGTACACAGACTATCTTTACACTAACGTATTTTTGCTAAAAATTAACAAGAGTAGATTATCTAATATTCAACAAAAGCAAACACTTTTACTTCTGGGGGGTGGAATTAATGTTCAAATTAAAATTTGAAGCAAATTAACTTATAAGCAAATTGCCAACCTGATTTTTTTTGTATAAGTTGAGATGTAACAATTTAGTTCTGAAAAACCCAGATTGTAACTTGAAAGACTTTTGTCTTAACAGAGTATACTGTTCTTAGAAATAGGATGGAAAAGATTGGTTGGTTGATCAGTGGTTGCATACACTTTCTTGTAATTGTAGCAAATTCTAGAAGGTTACTTCCTAAAGAAAGAAACTATGGGTTAGTAAGTGATAATGTGGTCACAGAATGATGAAGTTTCCCAACGTGCCTATTCTGGATAATTATCTAGGGCATACATTGAAAGGAAAAAAACCCACGACAATAGCAAAACAAACAAAACAGATTCCAGGTCCCACCCTAGCCCTCTCTAGGGGAGCCCTAAAGGAAATCTATTTTTTAAACAGGTATGTAAGGCTGTTCTTATAATCTGGCAAGTCTGGGAAGTAATAGATAATGGGGAAAGATCTGACTTTATCATCAGACAGACTGAACTTGAATCCCTGCTTGGCCAGACTGGAGCTGAATAACCTTTGGTTAGTTTCTCTGAGCGTCAGTTTCTTCATTCATTACTTGTGCTGGGACAGGGGTGGGCACAACATCGGGGGGGGATGGGGGACTGGGGCACCAAAGGAGTTACTGTTTATAAAACCTCTAGATAATAATAATCAAACAATAATAATAGCGAAATATCAGTGGTTTGATTTTTCTGGAATTTAACAGTTGAAATAGATCAAAACTTTCCTGTCTTCAGAGACAGAACAACTGTTTTAAATTGATCAGTTCTGGGTTGATCATTCCCTGCCCACTTCTTATTTTGCCCAAGAATCTATTTGGTAAAAATGATTGATCAGGGAGATTCTTTTTGGCACTGTTCCCTGGTTTTGAACATTTTGTCCTAATGAAGTGTCATCTCTAATATCTCACTCTTTACTCTTTTTTAGGCACCTAGAATTCTCTGTTATTCTACTGAACAGGAGAATAATCCCAATTCATATGCTAACTATTTTAGGCTTTTCTTTCTCCCTAAACCATTTAATTATATCCCAGGGAACATATTAATACTTGGCTTTGGTTATAATATAAAAAGTATATCCCAGTACAAGGAAAAGCATGGAAGTGGGAATAGCTTTGTGTCCATCTTCAAGTGACTTAAAGTTTCTTAGATCTAGTTCTCACATATTCAAATCTTCCTATTATTGGAAAATTAATCTCTTGATTAGCTGAGACAATTAGCAACAATGATGAGGCAAAGCCATTTTTTCCTTCTGCAGGCCTCCTCCTAAGTGTTGGGGCTGCGTGAAGTTCTTGCCGCCAAACGGTAGTTTTCAAACTTGAGTGTGAAGAAGACTTACTTGGGGAGTAAAGGTGTGTGTTTCTGGTTCCCAGCTCCAAAATTATGTGCAATTCTCTGGGGTACTCTATGGATCTCTCTTTGAAAACCACTGCTCCAGGAATTTTATATATCTCTACTGAACTTAACTCCAATTTTCATTCTTAAAGACAGGTAGAGAAGTCATGACAGATATCTAGATAGGCTGCCACTGCTCCTTTCAAATAAATCCTTAGCTATTCATCTATTGATGCAGCCAAGTGCAACAGGCCAGGTGCTTGGTATGGTGCTGGGGAAGAGGGTGTCTCTCTATCAGTTTAGCTACAGGGAGCTCTGTTTATGAAGTCTGCCTAAAAGCCTAGCTCCTGACCACACTGGCCGATGCACTGTGGTGTGATGTGATGAATCACTGCATTTGGGAAGCTGAAGACTTTCTGTACTTTGATTTCCTACCATTGCCTAATGTTAAACATTTCAGCATAACCAGAGGCCTTTAGCCCTGATTTGGTCCCTAGGGTTGGCGCCTGTTTGAAAAGGGCAATTAGAAGTAATTTAGTAATGATTTCTATGAACACCAGGAAAAAAACATTGTAAATACCTCAAACATGAGAGCGGCACAGGAACTAGCCAAAGATGACATATTGGCACTTCTTTCTTGACTCATGAGTGCAGCTGACCTCTGGGGAGATGGAAGCCTTGCAGTGTAGCGCTGGGCACCTGGGACCACAGAGATGGCTGAGGCATAATCCCAGCCCTCAGAGCCTTTCTAAGCAGGGAAGAGAGAGAAGATGAATGGCTCTAGCAAGTGTGAACATAGCTGTGACCCTTGGCAGAATGGTATAAATGTCACGAGGAAGATCCAAAGTGTCAGAGAAGCTTGCGGAGAGAGAGCTCACACTTCCAGGTGGGTTTTCCCAGAGGAAGTGGCATTTAAGCCAGTCCTGGAAGGGTAGGAATTTGACAAGTTCTATGGGGAGAAAGAATGTCTCTGTTACCACCAACAGGAACATCTTGAGCAAATGTGCAGATTGGGGAAGCTGGGATGTCATCTAGGGAGCTGGGAGAAGTCCTAATGGGATTTAACAACGTTCCTGTCTGGGACCTGGAAGTTCTGTTAGATTTTAGCAAAAGATGAGGATGGAAAGTTGGGTTTGGTCAAGATCATACCTGAATTTGGACTTTCCCTACGTGGCAGGGAGTCATTTAAAGGGGCTTGAGCAGGAGGGTGATACCATCAGAATTATACTTTAGGAAGCATAACAGCTGGGTGGAGGAGGATTTGCATGAGGAAAGGTTATACAGACACACCAGTGAGGAGGCTGTGTGAAGAGGAGGAATAAGTGACTAAGCGAGAGGGGCCAGGAGAGAGAACTCAGCAAGTAAACCTATATAAGAGTTGCAGGCAAAGAGGAAAAAATCTTGGCTGCCTATGAACAGGTGGCAACTATAATAACAGTCTAGGGGAAGACAGCCTGGTTTCCAGGGAAATGTGGTACTTTGGGTTTGAGGTGGCAATGGAAAAGGGAGCTAACCACCAGCAAGAAGTGAGCTGAAGCAGAGACTATGGCTGGGAGTTGCAAACGGTGGAAGCTCTCCAAAGTGTGGGCCACTAAAAATAGAGAAGAGGACCCTCCTAGGCTGTAGGGCAGGGTGCACATTAAAGTTTGGAGGAAGAGAAACCCCAAAACAAGGCAGAGAAAGACAAGTTGGAGACACTGTAGGATCAGGAGAGTGTCAGGGAACCAGAGGAAGGAGGACAGTTCAAGAGCGGGAGAGTTGGTCTCAGTTAAGAGACTACAGAGGGGGAAAGCTGAGTTGGTGGCTCTGGACTCAGCTTTGAACAGTTAAATGAAATTCCTCTGATGTAGGACAATGCCTTAAGTCCAGTCTCGTTGGTTCAATACAAAATCAAGATCTCTAAACGTCAGGCACTTCCAAAGGAGTCCACTTTCTCACTCAGTATGAATTAATTTCTTCCACTAACACCTGGTAGGTGCCTGAATGAGTCACTTACCCTGTCTGGGGATATGAGTTTTGTCATCTTTCACTTTGCAGTTCCAAGATTCTGTGTGTATGTGTATGAAAATCCTTAGTAATCTACACAATATTACACAAGCCTAAGTTCTAAAATGGCTGTGTTTGAAGACAGAATGGAAACCACATTTTGCTTTCGACTTAGTTTTTTCATATATGTATACTTTTAATTAAATTTTAAATTTAAAAAAAAATTTAGAAATAAAAAAAACTGAAGGAAAAACCTTCCCGCCTCCCTTTTGCCCGTAAGATAGTCTCCCAGTTTTCTACCCAGGCCTTTCCTAAGCATTGAGGAGGTGCCCAGAAAAATACCAGATGGATATACAAAAACATACTGTCACCAAAATTTTCCTTACAAGTTAGGCAGCTGCGGAAAGTCAGCCAGCATCAGGTCCCCTAGGGACGAGCAGCCTGGGGCTTGGTGAGGCCCGAAGAGGGGAAAAGCCAAGACCTGGAGCTCGAGGTTTCCGGGGCCTCGGCCCTGAGCGGGCGATTTTCTTGAAAACTCGAGAGCGCTCTTCTCTCTTTAAATTCAGGCAACAAGGCAGGCATGTGGGTATCAGCCAATAACCTTAAAAGATGCGAACGTGTCAAAGGAGATACGGTTTATCTTCTAAAATAGCGACAGTATCAGTGGCACGGTTTACAGGAAAAACATTAAGCAAGGCAAAGAGTAGGGATGTCTCTAACGTGATGTGATTTGGACCCACATTCGACCGAGCCCTGGAGAGTACGAAGAACAATGTCTGCAGCGTTCCTGGTTCACAGGGGACTCGCTTCTTTGGCTTCACCGGCGCCCCGGCCCCATCAAGCTGCGCTCTCCTCCCGCCCGCCCCCACGCAGCCTTGCCCCGGGAGGATGGGGCATTCGGGCGCCGCCAGGGCGGCAGAGAGCCCGGCGTGCGTCCCGAGCGCCAGGGCTCCAAGCAGCCTGGGGTCGAGGCTGGCCGTGGAACCAAAGGCGCACCGAGTGCGCTCGCAGCCACAATCCGCCGCCGAGCGGCCGGGGCGCGCCGTCTGCAGCCGGCTGGACTGTGCGCGCGCGCCTGTAGGGTGTGTGCGCGCGCGCCCGTGTCGTGTGTACTCACAAAGGTGTGTTTGCCTAAATCCACTACCCCGGGTGTGCCTTCCACCTCGAGCCGGAGCACGCCCGGGCCTGGAGCAGGGTCCCGGTAGAGCGGCCGCGGAGCCGGCATCCCCGCCCGCGGGGCAGAAGGCGCGCGAGGGCGGGGCGGCTGCGGCCAGCTCAAGACGCGCGTCGCACAGCTGCGGGACAGGTTCCGAGCGCTCTGCGCGTTTTCGGACACTTTGGCAAGCTTGGAAGCCGAGACTGAGCGGAAGCTGAGACTCGCTCGGCGTTGAGCGCGCTGCAGACAAGACGAGCAGCGGAGCTGGTGCTCTTCTCCGCCTTGGTCTGCAAAAGTGAAATGGAAAACAGCCGACTACCGCAGCCTCCTCCCTCTTCTCCGGCGCCGCAGCCCGGGCTGGGGGTGGGGGGAGTTCCTCTGGGCTGACTGGAGGGGAAGCAGGCAGCCTCCGCCGCACCTCCTCCGCCTTCCTCACCACCCCAGTCCCCCGGGTTCCACGCCGCATTTCTTTGTTTTGAAAGCGCCTCCTCCGCCCAGAGGCTTTTCCCCCGGCGGGCCGGCTCTGGCGGGGTGGGGGTGGGGCCTCGAGTCAGGGTCCCGCCCCCCACTTACCCGGACCCCTCTCCCGTGCTCACCTCCCATCTACTCTTCCCTCCCCGCAGCGACCCACGAGGCGCGTCCTCACTTGCTGGACATCAAAGGGAAGCAGGGAATTGGAGGTGGAAGTTGAGCAGGCAGGGGGCGCAGAGACCCTTGCACCCTAGGCCACGCCGGGCGGCCCGCCCCCGCCCCCTCCCCCGGGAACTCCGCCTGAACCCCGCCCCCCGCGTCACAGCAGCCTGACATTCTCACAACCCAGCGGGCACCCATCCCCACCGCCCCCGCTACCCCCGTGTCCGCCGAGTGCTCTATTTATGTTTCAGCCCAGCGATTTGCATAGGCCCCGCCTTTGGCCCTAGGTCCCCCTATCGGTGCCCCGCCTCGGCCGCGACGTCACGGCGAAGGCCCCACCTCTTGTGCCCGTACAAGGAGCGGAGGGCCCTAGATGGCAGCGTGGCGTCGCGGCGGCGTGTGCGTGTCGCGCTTCCTTGTGCCGTTTATAGGGTCCCGGCACTTCCGCTGTCGGGTTAGAAGCGGCGCGGTCATGGCGGAGCGCGGACAGCAGCCTCCTCCCGCGAAACGGCTCTGCTGCCGGCCGGGCGGCGGCGGCGGCGGCGGCGGGGCCAGCAGCGGCGGCGGAGGAGCGGGTGGCGGTTACAGCTCTGCCTGTCGGCCGGGCCCGCGGGCGGGCGGCACGGCGGCAGCGGCGTGCGGAGGCGGCGCAGCGCTGGGGCTGCTGCCGCCGGGCAAGACCCAGAGCCCCGAGTCGCTGCTGGACATCGCGGCGCGCAAGGTGGCTGAGAAGTGGCCGTTCCAGCGCGTGGAGGAGCGCTTTGAGCGCATCCCGGAGCCGGTGCAGCGCCGCATCGTCTACTGGTCCTTCCCCCGCAGCGAGCGGGAGATCTGCATGTACTCGTCCTTCAACACCGGCGGCGGCGCCGCGGGCGGCCCCGGCGACGACAGCGGCGGCCCCGGCGGCGCGGGCGGCGGCGCGGGCGGCGCGGGCGGCGGCGGCTCCTCGTCCTCGCCGGCCGCCACCTCGGCCGCCGCCGCCGCTGCCGCCGCCGCCGCTGCCGCCGCCGCCGGGGCCGGGGCCCCGTCGGTGGGGGCCGCCGGGCCGGCGGACGGCGGCGACGAGACACGGCTGCCTTTCCGCCGGGGCATCGCGCTGCTGGAGAGCGGCTGCGTCGACAACGTCCTGCAAGTCGGTGAGTCACGGGGCAGTCGCGGGGTCGTCTGTCCGTCCGTCAGTCCCTCGGCGGGGGGGGGGGGGGCGTCCGCCCCCTCTCCTCTGGGCAGCCCCTCAGCGCAGCGCGCGCCTGCACCCCGCCCGATGCCCTCACTGGCCGGGACAGTCCTTCTGAACGAAGCGCCCATTTCCTCTCCGCCCCTCCCCGCCCCCTGTCTCCCCGGACGGGCCAGCGCGAGTGGGAAATGAATCAGCAGGACGCGCCCCTCCGCGGGGTCCGCCGGGTGGGTGTCGGGTGCCCCCGGCCCGCTCTGTTCCCCGCCCTTCTCCCGGGGAGCGCGTCCTGGAGAGCTGCTGACCCGTTTTGGGGGGTGAATGTGGACAAAGGCGCGGGCGGCCGGCCGGGCTCGGGCGGAGGGTGTCTGTGGTGGGGCCGTGCGGGGCGGGGGAGGGGGCGCGGGCCGCACAGACAATGCCGGCCGGGGCCGAGCCGGCGGCCGGGCCGCGCTCTGCGCTCTGCCTCATCTCTCCCCTTGTCTGTCACTCGCCGGTCTTTCTCCTCTGCAACCCCCCCCCCCGCCCTCTCCATTTGAGGGGAGGGAAATACATTTTAATGCCACTCGGCGGCCGCTCCTCTCTTGGCTTCGACGGACTGGCGGCCGCGGCGTTCCGGGGGGCGGGGGAGTCGCTGCGGCGTCTGGGCTGGCCCGGGCGAGCTCCGCCGGCCGCCCCGGGATTTAAATGTCCTTCCCTCCGCGCCTCTCCGTCTCGGGGTGCGCGGGCGTCAGGCTGGACCCCTTTCCTGAGGGACCTCTCCTCCGGAGGACGCCCGCAAGTCAAAGGGTGCGAGCCGGGCCCGTGGCAGCTGGCTTTTCCCCTTACCGGGGGACCGCGGCGTAGCCGGGGCTCCCGCCGGCGGAGTTCGGTTTGCACCGGGGAGGGGGCCGGGGGTCGTGCTCCGTGCGAGCCGCGGGGAGCTGCGACAGGCTGGGCGCTCGCGGCCGGCGGCGGCCGGAGCGCGAGGCGGAGGGGCTTCGCGTCAGCGCCCGCGTCCCTCCCGGCGCGGACCGCCTGGCAGTCGGGCACGACCCCGCACTTTGTTCTTGTTTTCAGGCTTATTTGTGCCCCTTTCAGTTTTCTGTCACCCTCCGAAAAGGGGAAAGCAAACAAAAGAGTCTCTTTATTTCTTTTCAGGGCTTGTAAAGTAGAAGATACTGACAAAGGCGAGAGAAGGACTTAAAGCTGCACAGCCCTTCTTTTTCTGACAGACCATGAGAGTTTTCTCAGATACCGAGTTTTAAAAGCTTCTCTGTGCTCCCCGCTCCCCCAACCCTCCAATGTGTCTTTCTGGTCAGATATTTTTTTTCCAGCTGTGGCGCTGGGGATGTGTGAGCAAGACGGAAAAGAACAATGCTGTAGTGAAACTCCCCTTTCCTCGTATTTTCCTCCTGATTGCAAAACGGCGTGTTTTTCTACCCCCCTTTTATAGTGCTGTCTGTTTAAATTGTGGTGGTGAACCCGGTTCCTAATGAATGGGGAGAGATTTGGCAGCATCACTGTCTCTGATTTTTAATTTAATCTTGTCTTTCCGTAGTCAGTTCCTTTTATCCTTCTCTTTGGGAGTCGGGTAGGGGTCTGGGTGGGGCCCCAAGAGAGAATTAAGATTTGTTTTAATCCGGTCTGGTTAATTTGAATTCTAATGCAATCTGCGAACGTGATTTTCTGCATGGTCATTTATTTCTAAAGGTCGCCCCCAGTGTTGCCTTTTCTAGGTTAGACACCCTTTCCTTATGTCTGGAGGGGGGTTTAACTTCTGAGGCTACCCATCTATCCTTTTAAAAAAAACCTAATTAACATTCTTTCAAGTTATACCCCTCCTCCCCTTGTTTCCTGCCTGGTTGAAATGGATTGAAGCACATCCATGGTATCTCAGTATAACAAACTAGTTTGCGAGTTTTTATGGCTTGGCTGGCAACGCTGAGTTTTTTTCCCCCTTCTGTGCTTGACTCTGCTTGCAAGCAATGAGGAATGACAGGAGAGCGCATAGGGAGGGTTTCTTGGCTGATTGCATTTAAGCCAGGAATTCACTGTGAAAATAAAGCCAAGGGACGATAAATAAAAGATGCAATCTTCTCTAGGAGACAGACACACAGCGTGGGCCTTGCCTGCTTTCATTGGTGAAGAGGCCTGGGTGAGTTGTAAAAGAAAATAGTAACTTTCTGAATAGTCCCCAGAGGGGAAGGAGGCCACTGAATGGAGTTGGCAGTGGTTGATGTGAAGTAGGATGATGCTTCTCATATAGCTCGAAGAGTTGACCACCCCTTTGGAAACACATACGTGCTAAACAAGTGCTGTACAAATGGTGGAAAAAATTCTTTTTCCCTCCGTGTTCTGCCAATTTCCTTAACTTCCAAGTTGCATTACTTGCTGTGCCAGTCGCTGTAGAGATGGAAGGCTGTTAAATGCCTGGCAGCTGGCACTGTGAGATAGAAAACTTATGACCAGGATTTTCTTTTCCCCTTGATGAAGAACGGAGAGAGTGGCTAGATTAACCATCTAATTCAGCTCTAAGTGGTGGTTTGCACTGGAACTAACATGAAGCTTATTTTATAATTTTGTGATTTGAGGTAGAAGGCTTTTCCCCTTCATAACCTGAAATGGAAAAGAACAGAATATATGTTGATAGCATCATAAGCAGTTTTCTGGTATTGCAAAATTACAAGTTTGTTTGTACAGGAAGTATTCATTGAGTTTTGTAGAGATGACTAAATTACAGCCACAATATAGACAGTCTAGTTGCTGGACTTTATTTTGCACTTACAGTGTTGAGGATTACTTAAGGATTGAAGGGCAGAGAATTGGGACTTCCCAGTATTTAAACATACTTCTTGGTTATTTTTCAACCCCTAGATTTTAAGAAGAAGTTTAAAGGAAAAAAATTAAATATTTGAGTAGTTGTAAGCAGTATTTAATTGGTGCAGAGCTGTTCATCAGTTGATTAAGGGAAGTTTTAGAGAAAGCATTGTTAGCTTATTATTGTTAAGTAATGATATATTGGAAGGGAGCTAATGCTGAAGGTGGTTGAATGTAAGTATAATTGACAGTGTTTGAGTAATGGTTTAGAAGTCACATACAAATTTTCCACGAAAAATTTTTGCCTGAAAAGTAAGTGTCAGTCATGCCCGACTCTTTCTGACCCCATGGACTGCAGCCTACCAGACTTGTCTGCCATGAGATTTTCCAGGCAAGGATACTGGAGTGGGTTGCCATTTGCTTCTCCAGGTGATCTTCCTAACCCAGGGATCAAACCCAGGTCTCCTGCACTGCAGGCAGATTCTTTACCTACTGAGCTACAAGGGAAGCCTGGCAAAGAGTGTTCCTAATGGGGCCTGAAACTTGAATTGTAAAGGAAAAGACAGATACAAGTTACTTGATTTAAAAATATCTCTTAGTTTCTGTAGGACTGAAAACATGATGGACCAAGTTAAGCAACTGACTGGTGTAGTTGTTTGCAACATCTTTGAGCAAAGGCTGGCAGATAATTTATGAAATTTGGGGAAAAAGAGAGATGAAGAACTTGGTAGGAAAAATAAACATTTCACAAAGAAATGTAAATTATTAATAAATGTATTCATCTTAAACACAAGAGACAAAAATGGAAAGCTGTTTTTATCTACCACACTGACTCACTGGTAGATATTACCCAGAATTGATTGAGGAGGTGGGAGAATGGGATGCTGCCTCCCCTGATGCTGCACACAGTCTTTTTCTGTCATTTCTAGGAATTTATTCTATAGATTTATTGATATCAGTGTGCAGAGATGTTCAGCACGGTGGGTGATGCTCATTGCAGTACGGTTTGCAACTGAAAAGCTGGACTCAATCTAAATTTCTATCAGAGGGGAACTGGTTAAGAAGTACTCAGTGGAATACTATGCAACCACCAAAAAACAAAGTAAATTTTTATGTACTGACAAGTAGGGGTGACCAACATGTTTTCATTTGAAAACAAATCAACTGTTCATGTAGTACACTGCAGTTTCTGTTGAAAACAAAGACAGACTTGCATATTAGTGTTATAAAGATGTCTGGAAAGGCTACCCAAGCAACCATTGAATAGTGATTATCTTTGGAGAAGGGCAGATGAATGGGCACGGTTTTGGGGAGAATTTTACTTTTCATTGTATTAACTTATGGTTGTATTTTTCTTAAAATTAGATGCATATATTTTTGTAATCTTAGAAAAATTATCCTTGTGTTTTTTAATGAATGCATATTTTTTGTTTTGGAGTATGTGTTTGTGTGTGTGTCTCCTTTCTGAAGACCTGGTCTACACTTAGTTTTCTTTTTTTTGTTTTGAAACACCGTTTCCTTATTTGTGACTGAACAATTATTTAAAAGAAAAGAATGTCTAAACAAAACTAGAAACTAGTCTTTTGTAGAAGGAAGGAGCTGAGTTTTAAAAGGAAGTTTTTTTTTTTTTTTTTTTTTGCTGGTTACTTTTGGGAGAAAAGTTATGTTAACACTGGTAAGCCTTCTCATGGTCTTTTCAGATTTATTTAAATTTCATGATTTAGGGAGTAGCAAGGCAGTAAAAGGGGATCAGTATTAGATACTAGATTTAGGGTGGTTAAAATTTTATTAATCAGCTAACTTACTTGAGGCTAATTAGTTGGCCTTTGAGTATTTTGATTTTCTTTACAGACCAGAGTTTATTGTATAAAGATGTGATTCTGAATGCACTTTCAGAGTTAGGTGTTTTGTTTATTGATGATGATATAGCTTATTGAATGTATTTCCAAGTTTAATGATACGGAACAAATTTGAATCAGAGCCTATACTTGTTAAGTCTTTTGGTTAATGAAAAATTACACAAAAGAAGAAAATTTGAAACTAGTGCATATATGTATTTTTTTCTTATTGTCTTCCTTTCTGAGTTGTTTCATTTGCTTATAATTGATTTTTCGAAAGTATTTGAGCATCTCATGGGCTCAACATTGGTCTGAGGGAGTTTCAGTT